TGGCAATACTGCTGCACACTTTGGAGGAAAACCTGTTGAGCTTGCGCTCACGATCTCTCTCTGTGCGTATATCACTCGCCGCTGTCTTGTATCACTCTGCTTATATATCCGATCGAACTTTAACACCGCGCAAGCCTCGAGTAAATGTTCATATCACCTCTTGTCGTCGGCTGCCCGAGTGTTTATCGTCTATGTACGATTCTGCTGATGCTGTGCACTGTATAGATCTCGACACACGACACAACGATTACACAAAAAATAAGGGGAGCAGAGCGACTTTGACGACGAGTTCGCAAATCGGCCACACGCGCACACAAACACACACTTTAGAAGAGCTGCTGCGAAACTAGAAAATGTTTGCCGCTGCTGCGGGAGAGAGAAAGGAGTATATTATACTGCACTTGTATACGAGTAAGATCTCCTCGGCTCTCAGCTGCGTGCAGCACCCAAGCAGTGCGCTGTGTTCCGTGCGGCCGGGCTGTTGTGCAGTGTGCGGCAGCAACCTGCCGGGCAGGTGCCGCGAGACTAGACTAAAGGTAAAATAACATTATGCGAGGAGGGTATCATGTGTATTGCGCGCACGACGGCCTTTTCTCTCTCTCTCTCTCTCTCTCTCTGCTGCTGCTGCTCTGCCTCTTTGCGCTTCGTCTCTTCCCTTCTTCTTCTTCTTCTTCTTCTTCTCGTCTCGAGCTCTCCTTTCTTATGTGTGTGTACGCAATATATATATATATATATATATATGTAACACGCACACATACAGAGAGGCCTAGGAGAGAAATCGGACATTGGTCGGCGCGGTGCAGCGCTTCCCGCGTAAAATCCCTTTACCCAGCGCCAATCTCTCCGTATAGCCTTTTATGTTGTATACGCAAAGAGAGGGCCAGCTCTGCTGCGGCTCTTTCCATCCCATCCCATCCCATCTCTCTCTTTCTTCCTTCGTGTCTGTGTGTAATTTTACTTCAAAAGAGCAATCCGCGCGCGCGCTCGCGCTTCAGCCGAGGCTTGACCCTGTTCTCTCGACTCTTTTCTGCGCAGCGCAGGGCAGCGCAGGGAGAGAATAAACGCAACGCGGAGAGAAGGAGGAGGATCGCGCGTCTCTTATCGCGCAACGTTTTTATACTTCGATTTTACCTTCTTCTTTACTCGCGCGCTGCAGCAGAGAATCCTCAATTACCCGCTAACTCTACGTCGTGTGCATACACACGTATATATACTGCACCGATTGACAATGAGTGAAGTTCGACGTCGTGTATATAAGCCGCGACTCCCCGTTTTTCGAGATTATATACATACGAAGACCTGCTACCATATAACTTCGAGTTAAAGAAGAAGCTTTTCCGACTCGTTCAACCGGTGCAGCGGCCGACGACGACGACGAGTGCAAATTATATTCCCTTTCGCGGCCGCGTTGTTGTTGAAGCGCTGTTTAATTTGTTTCTTCGAAGTTAACGTCCTGCTTGTGTGTGTGTGTGTGTGTGCGCCAGCTTATAACATATAAACACAATTTGCGCAAAGAAACTAATTTCACCGAGATCGTGGCGGCGGCGGTGGCTGGCTGGTTGGCTGGCTTCTTGAATGGCGTGCGAGAATGCCCATTAATTTTACGAGCGAAGAGAGTACTTTTTTATTTCAATTTCATCTACCCCCTGAGAGAGAGAGAGAGAGAGAGAGAGAGAGTCCATCAATTACAACTTCAAGTTTTTGACTCGCGCGTGAATCTTCGTTCTCGGCTGCACTTCAGCTGCTGATGCCTTTTGCTGCGTCACACAATATGCGTTCGTGTGTGTGTGTGTATACGAGACGAACTTCACAGCACGGCACACATCTATAAAAGGCTATAATCAAGATCGAATCTTCGAGCTTCTTTTTATGATTATTTATATTCTTTTTTTTCGCCTGTTACTTCTTTCGCTCTTGGCGTCCACGCGATCAGCTCCGCGCAGCTAACCGAAGAGTCGTCTAATCATTTCTCGCATCTGTCGTGTTTTTGTCCTCGTATAAAGAAAAAATGTGTAAAAACATGGCTGAAACTTGGACGAGTCGTGAACTCGGCGCTTCATTGCGGCAGATACGCATCGTGTGCGTTGCATATACACAAATGTTAATAAATGCGATTACGAGACGAATCCCGGAAACATCGACGATTTCCATTTTTTTTCTTTTTTTTATACTTCAACGTCGCATCGTTCACACACAAATTTATTATAAATGAGCAGCAGTAACGTACGTAACGTATATACGTGCGGGACGTTTTCGGAGCGATCCGCGACGATACAATAAGACGAGTAATAAACTAAACCAAAAAAATGTACAATAATAATCATAATGGTAATTGTAATCACGCGCGCGTGTGTGTATATACGGCAGAAAGATCCGAAACGAGATACTCTCCGCATTGCAGAAGTTGCAACTCGAGCAGCTTGTATATATACGCGCATGTATATATGCACGCCATACGTTGACGCTGAAATTTTGTCACAATATTCGAGAATCGTGAAAATCGATACTTTATGCAGTGGCGCGCGAACGGCATGTGTTTGCTTATATTATACGTTATATAGGATAAGTACAGCACAGACGAGTGCAGATTCAAAAACGAGCCTCGCACATATATAAACACGTACGTTATTATATTTATATTATTATTATTATATATATTATATTGTGTGTACGCGACGCGAATGTAAAATGTTCAATTTCCATGATAATTCGAGTCGAGGAAACGCATCGGATCTCCAGCTCTCGTCGTCCTCGTCGTCGTCGTTTACCCAGAACTCGTCAAAAATATAATAATGATAATCTCGAGCGTCGTTTGCAACTGCCGCCGCCGCCGCCGCCGCCGCCCTTGTGAAAGAATAGTAAACATTTGCGCTGTGGCGCAAAGATTACGCTCGGGCTTTTTAAAAAAACAAAAGGCCAACCCAAAAAAAACCGCCCATCTTAATGAATAATCTAACAAGCCGTGTTTTCTCTCTCTTCTTTATTTTTTTTTCTCTCTCTCTCTCTCTTTCTCGATTTATACTTGTGTTAAGCCGCGGCGAGAAATACAAGAGAGAGAGAGAGAGAGGTAGAAAGAGAGGCCGGGAGAAATCTTACTTACTTTTTTATTCCTCCTTCGACGTCGCGCTCGACAAAGCGTATATATATAGCAACAGGTAAATGAGAGAAGGCCGGTAAGTATATGAAGAAGGTCAAATAAAGAGAGAGAGAAGGTGGACCGTACGACCTTTAACCTTCCTGAGAACTTTTACGTTCGTATATATATAGATGCACACACACGGTATATATGCGCTTGCCTCGGGGCACACAATATAAAACAACAACGAAAAAAAAAAGAAAAGTTTTGAAAAAAAAAGAGGAACAAGCAAAGAAGATCGCAGAGGCGAAGGAAAGAAACTTTTTGAGGCCTGGCCCCGGAATTAAATTGCTATATACAATACACACGCGCGCACGGCTATATGGAAGGTCAGATCGATCGGTTCTTTTCGCACGCGTTAATCCTCGTGCGCGTATATATAATGCGCACACGGGCGCAGTCGGTGTGAATTTTTGGAGCAATATACCATATGATGGGTGTGGGCTCCCCGATCGCTCCGGCTCTTTTATAATACCTCGGAACGTCGTAATTGTGTGTCTGTGTCTATGTGTGTGTGTGTGTGTGTACGTTCGCGTGCGCTGCTGCGCTGCATCGCGCGCGAGAAGATGAGAAAAGAAACGCGGACTCTCTCGCGGGCGCGCATTCCTTCGCGCTCGGGTATACGTCGGCGCGCAGTTCGTTGAACGTCTCTATATATGTATACCTATACGTGTAAAAGCGCGGAAAAAAATGTACTTGTGCATTATAAATACACACACAGGAGGAAAAAAATGAACAATCGAACGAGAGAATAAAAATGTATCTCGCGGATTAAAGAGAGAGAGGAAAAAGATTTAAAAGTAAAATAAAATAAGGGCAGTGAGAGAGACGAGACGAAATGATGAAGTTTTTATACGGCACTCGTCAAAAAGGGACGTATTATGTACGGCGAAGTTTCGTTCCACATATATACATACATAATATATAAATTAATTAAATCCCCTTTTTGGAGCGTCGTATTATATAGTCGTCGTCGTCGTCGTCGCGTTGCTCGAAATTTCATCACTTCATAAAACGCTCAGACAAATTGGCGCCCCCCTTTTATAAGATGCTCACGGGCATTAATAAATATACCCGCGTTATACACACACACACACACATTTAACGTTCGCGCGCGTGTGTGTGTGTGTTTTATGCAATGTCGAAAAATGTTCCGGATACGTTTAATGACACCAGCAGGACGCGCGCGCCGCGAATATGTCAATGCGTTCCGCGTGCTCGATCGTCGTCCCTTCCTTGCACTTCTTCGTGGTCGTTGTTTTTTTTTCTTCGCTTCGCCGCTACGAGACCCCGCGGGTGGTCCTTTAATCTCTTCGCCGTTTCTCGACACTCTAATTATTGTCGCGGAGTATAAAGATCCTTAGAAAGCAGGCGGCACCGCGTGGAAGTGGCTAGTCCGTTCTCTCCTTTTTTTTTCTACGTTTGTTCGTTCGTTTCCTACTTCGTTCGAAAAAAAATTGTCCTCGTTGAGGCGCCTAGGATCGAGGATTCGGCTTTCGAGATTTTAAAAAGGTAAATGCGTCACTGCTGGCGAGACGGTTTTTCATAGACTCATTTATATCTTAGTTATTTGATAGATTAAAAAGTTTGGTAATGATTCAGTTCTCATGGACGAACACAGGTTACAGCAATTAGGGCTCATGAAGAGAGCTTAAAAGTTACTGTATAGCAACATAAAAATGATATCTACTTGTGGGTTTCAATGTTTTATTAGATTATTATAAATAAAAATTTTCTTTGTTTTCCTCTAGAAATTTATTGATATTTCACCAACTCAAACATCTTTTTTATGAACAATATAACAACAAATGAAAAAGTTTATATTAAATTAGTTTTCTGAATATGTTCATCAAATTTTGTAAGCTTATCGAGTTGAAATGAGTGAGTGATGCATCGAATCAACGTGGGCTTTAAGTTTACCCTTCTGTACATATTTCTTTCCGCATATATCGCACGAATTCATCATACCATTATGGATAGCAGTGATATGGATTTTGAGGTAACCTTTTTGTGAAAATATCTTTCCACATAAATCACATTCATGAGTGACACCGTTGTGCACTGCATCGAAATGGGTTTTCAGATTACCTGTGTATGCAAATGTCTTGCCGCATGTATCACATGAATGTCTGGCACAATTATGCGCTGATTGAATGTGCCTAGTAAGATTCCTCTTATGTTTAAACGTCTTTTTGCACACATAACACGCATGACTGATACCATTATGAACCGCATCGATGTGAACTTGGAGACTATACTTAGTCGTGAATTTCGATTCACACGTGTCACATGCATACGTGATACCTTTGTGTACCGAATCGGTGTGGATTTTGAGATTAAACTTTTGTTTGAACGTCTTTCCGCACGTATCACATGCATGTGTGGCCCCATTGTGCATCGTATCAATGTGCCTTTTGGCATTACTTTTATCTGAGAACTTCTTTCCGCATACATCACATTCATGAGTGACACCGTTGTGCACTGCATCGAAATGGGTTTTGAGACTATCCGTTTGTGCAAATGTCTTGCCGCATATATCACATCCATGTCTGATACGATTATGCTCTGATTGAACGTGCCTAGTCAGATTATTCTTATGTTTAAACGTCTTTTTGCACACATAACACGCATGACTGATACCATTATGAACCGCATCGATGTGAGCTTGGAGATTACTCTTAACGGTGAATTTCGATTCACATACTTCGCATGCATGTGTGACACCCTTGTGCATTGCATCGATGTGGATTTTAAGATAACCCCTGCTGTTGTAATCTTTTCCACAAATATCACATACGTGTCGTGTACCATTGTGCATCGAATCTATGTGGATTTGGAGATAACGTTTTTGTGAAAATGTCTTGCTGCAAATATCACATTCATGTACGATTTTATCATGCACCGTATCGATGTGAATTTTTAGATTACCGCTGGTGGAGAATTTCTTTTTACATACATCACAAGTATGTGTGACACCATTGTGCGCCACATCGGTGTGTCTCTTGAGATCACTCTTACCTGCGTACTTTTTTCCGCAAATATCGCATGAATATCTTAGACCATTGTGCGCGATATCGATGTGTTTCTTGAGATCACCCTTCTGTGAGTACTTCTTTTCGCAAATATCACATGGATACTTGATACCATTATGCACGGCATCAATGTGGACTTTAAGATTACTTTTGAATGAAAATTTCTTGCCGCATACATCACACTCATGTTTGATACCACTGTGCATCGAGTCGATATGTTTTTTGAGATTACTATTTGTTGAGCTCTTGTTTTCGCATACACCAAAAGTGGGCGAGGTATCACGATGAGCCGGATCGATGTGTTTTTTGAGGTTATGATCTTCGTTGAGTTTTTTTGTAATTCTTCTCTTTTTATTCTGTTCAACAGATTTACGGTCGAACTTCAAATTCGATTCTCCTACTACATTATCAACAAATTCTTGTTTAACTTCACCCTCGGGTTTTATTTTAATGTTGTCTTGAGTTGTATTACCATCGATATCTTTGACATTCCGCAAGTGATTTTGAAAATCATTCTCAGATTTTTTAACTTTTAATAAATTAATATTGGGCTTCACATCTTGACATTCAAAAACTATTTTCATTTTGTCATCAAGATCGCTTTCATAATTTTTGTCACATTTTCGAAAGGTGTGGGTCTGTTGAAAAAGTAAAGATAAGTGTAAGACATCTCATTGAAAAACAACTACAATACGAGAGACTTATAATTATCAACACTTACTGAATTTTGTTCAAGTAATGGCAAGAGTTGGAAATTTTTGAGATCTGGTTTCTCATCAGTTACGTCCCAATCATTCTCGATAAGCGACATATCAGTAGGTTCATCTTTCACTCTGAAATAACACACAATCAGATCAAGTGTTTTGTTGAAATATTTTTACGATTTCATTCTCATAAATCTAAAATTACCTGACATCACGATCAAGTGTATCACTGGATTCCATATTTGTTTCATTCAATTTCGTCAACAGTTAACCTCTCTGCGATGATCGAGCGAACTATGCACGCCTGATGCCACACGCGAAAACTGACGATGTACACCGAGATCTGCCGTAGTGCTCGTTCTGTTGTTTGCGTCGCGCGTCGACTGCTCGACCTCTCCGTGTATGCGTGTGTGTGTCCCTATAACACAGTGCTTTGCGCATAAGCTCGCGCTTTTGTCCTACAAGCGAACCCAGCTCTGCGCTCTTCGCACAGTTTTTTCGTGCGTATCTCAAATTTCGCATAATAAAATTTCGAATTAATCAACTTGAGTGAAGCAAAACTAAGTGAAAAATGGCGTCATGTACCTCATGCCTAATGAATATAGTAAACGTTTTTCCATCAATGATATATTATTATGGAAAAATGACATTAAAAAATGATTTCTAATGATTTTCGAAGCGCACCGAGGTATACAGCTGAAAAGTAATGAGATCCATTCGGATTTATACATCTCAGATACACGCGCTATACTTTTGATGGAGAGTTTGAAAGCCACGAGTGCAAGACCCCCATAATACGAACACACACACACATATACATTTACATTTACGCGAAAAGCCATCCGGCAAGTTGGCACGCGGTGTATTTATATCAGCGCGCGGCGGTGTTTTTTCGCCAAGTGGCGCGCGCTCCATAAGCGTATATATATACGTATGGTACTTGTCATTCGCGTACCGGTTTTTCGCTGCCGATATACCGCGATCGTTTACGTACATACATAGGTACGCGTATATACGCGATCGAGCTATATTTTCATTCAGAAATGGCCTTTTTGATTAATCGACTGCGTCGAAGCTTCGCGCGCGGCTAAGTAGCCTCGGCAATTTTTGCTCATTACCCTCCTCGGAGCGAGTGCGTCGATTTTTGTCCTCGATATATGTAAAAATAAAAAAAAAATTATCGCAGACTAGTTCGCCTATTTATCGAATGTCTCTCGTGATACGGCGGCAGCAGTAGCCGCGTGGACGTGTCCATGTGGCAAATGCGCTACAAGCGGGCGCGCGTCGATGGCAATCGATTATTCCTAATGCACCGATTAATAACGATACCACCGACTTTTTCTCGATTCGCGCATCGAGTCTTACGCAACGTAAACCGAGCAGCGGGACGCGAGTGAATATTAAATTTGTTTTTTTTCTCTGTCTCTCTCTTTCATATCTTTAAGTTTTTTTTCTTCCAAATTAAAAGCTTCGATACACTCGTACGCGTATAAGCAGGATCTCGATGAGTTGCAACTGATAAAGGCGCGTGAAAAAAAAAAAATATGTACAGTCGCGGTGCAGGGTTACGAAAAATGAAAGTGACCGATCAGCGGAGACCCGCAAAGAGAAAAACCCCAGGCAGAGGCTTGCTTGTATCGACGTGAATCATTTAATTACACGTACACACACACGTACACAAAGTATATGTGTGTGAGTCCGTTCACGAGAGAGCGAGATTTTAATTAAACAATATTTTTCCCTTTAACTCGCTACGCGCACACACACATGGTATTTAAATTCGCGCGAGAATCCAGATTCGAATTATAGATTAATTCGGATCCTTTACCCCTTCTTTTTCTTTTTTTCCTTCTTCGTCGTCGTCGTAATCAGGAGTCCCTTTTGGGCAGTGTATAAACGATAAATAATATACTTGATAGCCGTGTCGAGCTTGGGTTACGACACTCTGCCTCACGCTCGGCCGAGCTATAAATACATTATACAACACAACACGCATCAAACTCGGAAGTTGGTCAAGATCGTTGGTTAATTTTCTTCTTTTCAGTTTTTTTTTTTCATTTCATGGGCACTTGATTACCGAAAAAGGATCTTCAATTGAATTTTCAACCTTGAGAGTACCTAAAAAAATAAGCATACGTCGAACGCTGCACCTCTCGAATCGAAGAAATTTCACGAGCGCAACCACCGCCCACGCTCCTATGGGTGGTTTTTCGCAACTCTGCCGATTTCCATAAGTATAGGCTCGATCGCGATGCGCAAGGCAAAAACTGCAACTGCAAAAGATCGGAGACTCCGCGTGCATTATTGATGATGATCTCGAGAAAGAATATGCTATATGTAGCGATCGTTAATCGATCGGGTGAAAAGAAACTCGCGCAGGCGCGCATTTATTTATTTATTTTTTTCTTACCCCTTTTTGTTGCTCGAGTATCCGCGTGTCCAAAAGTGTATGTACATTACGCGCTGCATCGGAGCGAAGTCGAGCGAAGTTCGTGCACGATGATCGAGTGTGTATACGAGAGCGCGACAAAGAGTCGATCGTGAGATGAGATAGATGCGTGTAAGGACGTAACGAAAAGACTGCACGAGACAATTTGTTTTTTGTACATTTTTTAAAACTTATTATTGAGCTCGCGAGCTTCCTCTTTCGTTTCATCTATTTACAGTTTACATCGTGTTGATAATGTACAGGGGGGATAGGTTATACATACATCCAAAACTATACATGACTATGTATTGTTTCATCTATTTACAGTTTACATCGTGTTGATAATGTACAGGGGGGGATAGGTTATACATACATCCAAAACTATACATGACTATGTACCAATCGTACATAAAGCAGTTTCTTTGCAGACCACAGAGCCGCGCTCTTTCAAAGTAATCATAGCAATTCGCTTCCTCAGCTTTCGTATCAACGAACGCGAACACACGCCGAAGCGGTCGATACGAGTCGTCGACTTCTTCTTCGCTTCTTGAACCACCGGCTTCTCGTTCCGTTTGGGCTGCGGAATTACGGCGGAGTGGTCCATCCTCGGCGACGCCTCGTCGTTCTCGTAGTATCGCCTCCTCGTCGCGGATCCGTTCTCGATCCGCAGAGTAGTAGCGCGGAATAACGGCCTCGTCGCCTCTCGTAGCTCGCCCCGATCGGCCCGATCGAGGGCCAGGGCGATGGGCACCAGGCTGCCACGGAGGCGGCAGCCGAGCTCGAGTAAAATCTTACCCGCGCAATCGACGGAGCTCGCGTCGTACCAGTAACGAAGTCTCTGGGACTGGCGCAGCGCGCGACGATTCCTCCTGGCCGCGGCTAGGCTGCGCCGGAGGCTCGACAGCTGGCCCGGCGAGTGGCCCCAGGTGCCGCGGAAGGTGGTCCTCGGATACTCGGCCGACGACTCGATCTCGATCGTCGTCGGGCCTTTCTCCGTCTTCTCGAGGGCACCGCGATTCCGTCGCGAGTTCCAGAGCAGCTCCAGCACGTAGTCGGTGATCGCTTGATCGGCCGGTGCCAACGTCGTCTCCTCGCAGTCGCCGGAGCTCCACTTTGGATAACGGTCGCCGTCGACGATGATGTACTTCTCGTGGAGTACGACGCTTGGACTCGCTTCTTCTACGCTGCTCATGACTCGTTTTTTCTCGTTCGCCTGTTTTTCCTCTCTACTACTCGACGCGAATACTACGCGACCTACAGGCTTGGGCGAACTTTGCACGACTGGCGAGAGACTTCGACCGTTGCCCGTATAGCTATTGTTGATATTCGAGAATCGACGCTGATTGTTATTGTTCCCGTACGTACTCGTAAGTCGTTGATTTTGCGTTCAATTAAAAATCCAAGCCATAGATTTACCATCGGCAACATTTTCATTCGTTAATTTCTTCTGAAAATCGCCTTTCTCAAACGGATAACATCGATCGAAAATAAAATCAAAGCCAACGAAAAAGAGAGATCGAGGAAAGAAAGAAGGAAATTAGCGAGAGCACGTGTAATCGAGTAATCGAGTAAAAGGAGTAAAATACAGGAAACGGCCCCCTAAAGCCTCGTATATATATACTGCATAAGGGGCATAAAATGTATCGAGAGTCGATTTATATTCATTAGAAGATTAATTGATCGATTACACGGACTCGATGTGTGCGCGCGCGCTTATATGTGCATGCGCGACGCAGTCCGGTTAACGGCCGCGCGCACTAACTTATTATATTATTATATACACGTATGTATAATACGTAAACGCGCACAAAGTAATTAATGACGATTTTTGCACTTTTGCAATGAGCCACGCGCGCGCGCGCCGACTAATCGCTTCGTTTTAAAGATATTTTCGCTCGTTTTATATCGATATGCTTATAATAGTCTCTTTTTCTCGAATGTTAATGTATACAAATTCTCGCGCTCCTGATTTATGAAGGAAAAGAAAGAGTATACGTACGTACGCGAAAAAGCAGTAAACTTGGTTTTAATTCACGATTAAAAAAGAAAGAGAGAAGAAACGTCTCGATACAACGATTTTTCTTCCTATGCTCCTATCGGCGTATTATAAACGCGTGGGCATCGAAGTTTTACGCGTGAAATCTCCATCCGCGCGATATAATTTAAACGCTATTATATGCACACACGCGCGTTACGTCAGACGGAAAATTTTCTCTCCAAGCGAAATGCCTGGAATTCACGCCTGGGCCTTATGGCGCGCGTATTATAATATTATATACGCACGCGCACCTGTTTACAAATTTCGCGCTGCACGCGAGAGCTATACATATATAAAAGAGAGAGATATATTGTATACTCACACACTGCCGAGTGCAGCGCGGCCAATCGCAGTCCTTTTTCGTACCTTCTTTTTTTTTCATTGCTTTTATGCACACACTCACACATTCATCGAACACTTTCTCCGCGACGCGTTGGGTGCGCTGTATCTTATTATGTACACTCGAGTTGGCGATTCGTTTTCATCAACAGCTGGATGATACGCGCGCGAGAGAGGCTTTTGACGCGCGTCCCGCACGAGGTTCGCTGGCGGATTTTTTTTGCTTTTTTTTGTATACACCTATTTGGCCTCTTTTTTGTGCGCGCCTCTTATGTACGCGCGATATGGGCTTTGCAAATTATTGCATAGACGCGGAGCTGCTATTAATCGGTATATTTACAGCTTAGATAGAAACTTTATCGATAAAAATATAATTATCGAATATCGCATGGAACTTTCTCGTGTCCATGTAAAACCGAGATCGTTTATACGAGCCCGCGTACAAATATAAACTCGGTATTAATTTTATTGGTTGCGTCAAAAAAGTTTCAGTCGCTCTATTCATTCACGAGCTGTTGAATATAA